TATTATAACTAAAGTATTATTTATAAAATCTTAAGATAAAAGCATTATTTTTTTTATTAAAATATTTATAATATATTCTGATCATTAATATATTATATAATCTGCCTCAACTTTTCATACTGTAAACAAGATTTATAGAAAGTTTATTAAATAAGCAATTTTATTCTTTTACTAATTATACTTTTAATCTAGTAAGAGTTCTAATATTTTTTTATAATATATATTTTCATTAATTTTTAAACATCTTCAATTGAATTTTGGTCAGATAACATTGATAATCATGAGAGAGTTTTCTTCTTTTAATAACTCATTAATTTTGAATGGTATTTTGGATCATTATTCTCTTGTAAGATTCACTCTTCAGAATTACCCTCAAAAAAGATACTCAACTAATAATAGAAGATTATATATTGTAATCATAAAATCAGCATTAAAATTTTGCTGAAAGTAGACTAACTCATCAAAGCCTAAAGCAGAAAAATAATCCCCTTCGTTTATTCAATCAAAATCACAAATCTTGCTAAATATGATCTTACCTGTATTACTGTTACCGTGTAATACTGATCTCCCGTTTTCAATGCATCTTTGTTTTTAATTTTTCCGATATAATAAACAATATCTCAATAATTTATCCGTTAATATATCCAATGAAATATTCTATAATAAGAAAAATCGAAATGGATAAATAGAATAGTCGCGAAAGATCAAATAAAATGTGCTTTGAAGCTCTAATATTATGTGGGCTGATCTTAAAACTTAATGCGATTTTTTTTTATAGATTTAGAATCATTATTAATTAACGTTCAACGTGACAATAATTTTTTAAATTTATCCTAAATGTATGCCACGATGCATACAGCATAACACATCAAATTTGACGACGATGAATCAAATCTCCATCCAATAAAAAACTGCCAGCAAACAAAGATCTAGCAACGACCAATCACCAATTTCCAGCATTTTTATTTTATGTGAATCGCGAGGAAAGTCTAAAGAGCTACCAATAATACGAACACACGCATATAAAGCCAAGCAGCCCTCTTCCAAAAAAATTTTATTCTCTTTTTTATCCCTTAGATAGTTGTTGAGTTTTTTTGAATAATTTTTTTTAGTGTGCAGATATAGATTATATACAACATGGCGAAACTCGCGTCTTACGCATATTTACCTATACTATTTTCGATAATATTGCTCCTTTTTGCGTTTGCTCCCTTTTCGATATTTGCAGAAACCGATGAGAAAGCAAATGTTGGTACAGGTGAGTAGTGCTGAGTGTTTAAAAAATAAATCAAAGAGAACCATACTAGAAGAAAAAAATACTGATAAAAATATCATTGTATTAGTAATCGGTATCGATTTGGGCACAACCTATTCATGTGTTGGAGTACATGTGAATGGACGAGTTGAAATTCTAGCCAATGATCAAGGCAACCGTATAACACCCTCCTATGTAGCATTTACCGATGAAGAACGTTTAGTAGGAGATGCGGCCAAGAACCAAGCACCATCAAATCCCGAGAATACAATCTTCGATGCGAAACGATTAATCGGACGCCGATTCAATGACAAAGACGTGCAAAACGATATTAAACATTTCCCGTTCAAAGTCATCAATAAAGACGACAAGCCGGTGATCCAAGTGAAAGTCAAAGGCGAGGAGAAGATATTCACCCCAGAAGAAATATCGGCAATGGTACTTGGGAAAATGAAGGAGATCGCCGAATCGTACCTCGGAAAGAAAGTCCTGAATGCGGTTGTCACTGTACCAGCTTATTTCAATGATGCGCAGCGTCAAGCCACCAAAGATGCTGGTGTGATTGCCGGATTGAATGTTATGCGTATTGTTAATGAACCGACGGCCGCGGCTATTGCTTATGGTCTTGATAAGCAGGGAGGTGAACGACAGATTCTTGTGTATGATCTCGGTGGTGGTACTTTTGATGTATCGTTATTGTCTATTGAGGACGGAGTGTTTGAAGTATTAGCTACGGCTGGTGATACCCATTTGGGCGGAGAAGATTTCGATAATCGAGTAATTGAATACTTTATTAAATTGTACAAAAAGAAATCGAAGGCGGACGCATCCAAAGATTTAAAAGCCGTTGGTAAACTAAAGCGTGAAGTTGAAAAGGCTAAGCGCACATTGTCACAACAAATGTCCACTCGTATTGAAATCGAATCATTCTACGAAGGAAAAGATTTCTCGGAAACTTTGACTCGTGCAAAATTCGAAGAACTCAATAATGACTTGTTTAGAAAAACATTGAAACCTGTCGAACAAGTACTCAAGGATGCCGGTGTCAAGAAAGAGGATGTGCAGGACATTGTGTTGGTTGGTGGATCAACTCGTATTCCTAAGGTACAACAACTTCTCGAGGAATTCTTTAATGGAAAAAAAGCTTCAAAGAATATTAATCCAGATGAAGCTGTTGCTTATGGTGCCGCTGTACAAGGTGGAATTCTCAGCGGTGATGATAAAGTTTCCGACGTATTGTTGGTCGACGTGTGTCCTTTGACACTGGGTATAGAGACAACTGGTGGAGTCATGACAAAATTGATCCCACGTAATACCGTGATTCCAACAAAGAAATCACAAATTTTCTCGACTGCCGCTGATAATCAACCAGTTGTACTTATTCAAGTATACGAAGGAGAACGATCACTCACAAAAGATAATAATTTACTTGGAAAGTTTGAATTAACTGGAATTCCGCCAGCACCACGAGGTGTACCTCAAATCGAAGTCACTTTTGAAATGGATGCCAACGGAATCATGAAAGTATCTGCTGCTGACAAAGCCACCGGCAAATCAGAATCAATAACCATCACAAACGACAAAGGTCGCTTGTCAAAAGAAGAAATTGATCGTATGGTTGAAGAAGCGGAACAATTCGCCGAAGAAGATCGAATTCAACGTGAACGTATCGAAGCACGCAATCAGCTTGAGTCATACGTATACTCATTGAAAGCTCAGGTTGCAGATGATGGCGATCTCGGCAAAAAATTAAAGGACACTGACAAGAATACTATTAAAGAAGCGATAAAAAAGACGATTGATTGGTTCGATGAATATGGAAATTCGGCAACAAAAGAGGATTTGGATGAAAAACGGGAGGAGTTGCAATCGGTTGTTAATCCTATTACGAGCAAGTTATATGAGGGAGATGCACCATCGTCAGAGGAAGAGGAAGAACCATTCAATCACGAAGAATTATAATATCAATAATAATAATAATAATAGTAATAATCATAATCATGCCAGTTAATCAAAAAAAAAATTATTTAATTTTGATTGGTGTTTAAAATTTATTGTGTAGTGAAAAGGTTCGCTGCATCTATTATATATATACTAATATAATCTACATTGTATTAATTAGTTAAAATTAGATGATAAATCAAAGAGTATTATTATTCATGTTGAAAGGGTTTTGTTAGATAATTAATTATTAATGTAAAGTCAAAATAAACACTAGTCCTTAGATACCCATTAATTTTGCCTGCAATTATACACAATATTTCATCTACTCATACTATTATAATAGTTTATTTAATTTTACCGCCGATTGCAAAATCACCGTACATATCTAGCAAAAAAGAATTAACGAATATGGACTTACAGAAATGCATACTTAATGTAGGAAATAGACACACTTACGTAGCATCTATCTGAATTACTTGTGGCAATATTGTCTTCACTTTAAGTCGATACGTCACCTCGTTATTTTTTTGTAGAGGATTACCCTCGAGATAAACGGTGCGTAATTCCTGGATGTGTGCAAGTTGGGATTCAAGTTCTTGAAAATCGTTCAGCTGGTTATTATTAGCCTATATTTAAAATATTAGGAATAATTGTGTTAGACATTTATTTCTCACATAGATGTGCGGTGTGTAGATAATGAATGAATATTGCCAAAAAATGATGATAGAACTTCACCCAGAATTCCTCCAAATTGGACAAATGAGAGATATTTTCAATTTTAGTGATGAAGTTATTACCGATATCTAGGACACGTAATTTTTTCTACAGATGAATAATAATAACATTTGGTTATTCCACGCACAAAAACAAGGATGAATAATTTTTATTTTTTATATGGAATACAACATTGTTTTCTAGTCCCTCGATTTTCTTTATTCCATTGTGACTAACGTATAATTCTTCCAGATTGATTAAACCCTCTAAACCGTTTAATTTCGTCAATCTGTTGCTTTGAATACTCAAAATTTTGAGATTTTTCAGATTGTCCAAATTCTATTATGATTTAATCCAAGAATTATTGAATGCTTTAAGGAAAAAAATTTGACATAAAAGAATAAAAAATTACCTCGAATTCCTTGATTTTATTTTTCCCGAGCCAGAGTTGTTCCAGCTTGACGAAAGAACTCAAGTTCTCAATTTTCTTCATAAATAAAAGATAGATTAGCCTACACACTGAGGATCACATTTCAGGAAGGAGGAAAATAGTCATGAGGAAGGTGGATGGATGCGCGGCGAATCATAATGCCATATTTTTATCATTATTGTCACGCATCTCATCACACATAAAATAAAACGACACATGTTCAAATACAGCTGAAGAGATTTGAAAAATCACCCGAATATTGTTTGCACCCAGCTCCAAATTCGTCAAATTCACGAGATTTTCAAGATTTTGAATGGTCTTTATTTTGTTTTGTACAAAGTAGAGGTTTGTGAGTTTTATGAGGTGGTTAACGTTTTCGATCACTTTTATTTTATTGAATGATAGGTCTAATGATCTACATTTATATTCATTTTGTAAATCAATATGATCATTTTAATTGTGAGGGATCATTTCATTATTTTTTGATGATTATGATGATGATAAAGTAATTTCTTACTCAAGATTAATCTGATTATCCAGATTTTCAATATACGATATCCTATTATCGTAGAAATCAATTTCTTTCAAGGACTTTAGATTTTCAAGGCCTTCTATTTTCGTGATTAAGTTTTGTCGAAGACATAGTTTCTGAATAAAGAGGATGGTTTTTTTTCAATCAATAAACCATAGAAGTCTTTAAAACATTTGCTCGTGCTGTTGTTGTTCACAAGAATATTTTCGTACTTTTAAATTAACAAATCGATCCAGAAAAAGGCTAGGAATATCAGTAATTCGTAGATGCGTCAATTCAATATCCTAAAATTACCAAATAAATGATTAATCTTTAAACTGAATAATATGAACAGATTTTTATCAAAGGTTTACAATAATACCTCTTCCTCTTCGCCAAAATCAGCTAATAAATCTACAAAAACTACAATTTCATCGTTTCAAAAATAGAGGACTCGGAATATAAACTCAGCCACCTACGTACCGTCATTTTCTGCATCATCAGCAACTTTATTATCTTCTTTATTATCAACCTGCACAGAAGAAACCTGATTCTCTAATTCGTTTTCACTTTGATCTGATGCATCAGACTGAAAGGTTTGTGGGTGGGACATGTCTGTTGTTGAATTTGAAGTAATAAAAGGAAAATACGCCTATAAACTTTGCATTATTATTTTTATTATTTACCATAATGAGAGAATTCTTTGTAAAATTGTGAACGACAACGACGGTGTGGTGCCTTCAAGAAACTAGAAAAATAAATAAAAATTGCCAAGCTGCTTATCCAATCAAAACTTGTGATCGATAACTATGGACAATTATAAATAAGTGTTTTTTACGCGTCAATTCACAACCGATTAGGCATCAAAAAAGTCAAGCAGTTTGATGATGGTTAATTGAAAGTAATAAAATTTAACATTTCATTTTATTATTTAATTAAATTCGATTAATTGATATTTGATTAATTGTTTGATTGATTGATGCTATATATGTCTCAAATTTCAGATCCAATAGAAAGGTAATTCAAAATCTTTCTTTTACTTACCTAATTCCAATCAACAATTAATCAAAGCAAGGAGATATCTGGCACCGCCTCCTACCATACTACTATCACCACCACTACCACCACTATTACTATTAGGACTTAAGAAATAGAATAACAAAGGGGGAATCAAACAATAAATATCAAATTAAAAATCTTCTAAGTATATTATATTAAAAGTAAGAATAATGTAAAGAAAGAAATAATTCTGCATTTATAATAAAAGAATAACAAGTTAATAATTATAATAATAATAATCATCATCTTCGTCATCATCATCATCATAATAATAATAATAATATTAAGAATAATAATAAATTCTATAACCAAAGTCCAAGCAAACTTTTACTAATAATAATAATAATAATAATAATAATTTATTTTCATTATATAAATCTCAACTGATTAGAGGTGAAATGCGGTGGAGTCCACTGCAAACAATTTTCATCAATAGTCCGATGATTCTTCGACTTTGTTTTTTCGTGTGCGGCTACCAGCGCATCAGACAACCATATAATCTGTTGTCCTTTATACGGCTTGATGGCGCCAATTGTTTGCAGTGTTTGCAGTATATCGGTGGTGGTGATACTTGTGCGATTAGATATTTCCTCGATGGTGATCTCGTCACTGTTCGCTTTTGTCTCGAGTAATATGTCGAGGATAACTTCTGTCCAATAAGCTCGATACGATAGAAGTCCAAGATCGGAAAGAGGTTTTTCCGGGGATCCCACTTTCCCTTCTTTTTTTGAGAGTTCGTATGAAAAGGCGATTAGTAGTCGACCGTATCCTTGTCGTTGGTACTGTGGAAGAGTGAGAATACAAGCCAGATTGTAGCCTTCAGTGCTTTCCTTCTCTTTTGAGAAATATCCAATCATGTGACACCCTTTGGAATCTCGTTTACACATAATATAGAACAAAAATGGATCAACGTCATAGTAAAGTGTCTTATGATCGAGAAATAGTTTCGACAAAAGACAAAGGTTACGACAATATGTTTTCTGTTTATGACCATCGATTTCAAAGAACGAGATATCGTCTTTACGATATATTTCATTGCCGGGCGGATGCAAAATATTGCATTTCTTTAAATGCCTGCGTAGCTGGCGTTCACTAACAAAATGAAACAGACAGAACTCGCATATGTAAATCGTGGATGCGGACGCGTACTCTGCAGGATATGGCGAGAAATACCAAGTCTCGACGTCAAATTTCCCAATATGAATCCTTTCAAGATTTTTCACACGTGAGATCTCGGAATTTGATTGTGTCATTGATCCAGAAACGCGAAGTTTCTCCAGTTCTTGCTTTTTCGAGAGTGGTCCACCACTGCCATCCGCTGCCGCAGCGTAGCCACCATTAGGGGTTCCTGGTCCACTACCAGTATCATTGTCAAAATCCTCAGCATATGTCTCCGATAGAGGAGTATGAACATCTTCCATCGCAGAGATTTTTCTTTTTTGGCCAACTGTTGTTGCAGGTACACCCAAGTTTCTATTCGGCGTTCTGTTTCCATTACTCAGTGGAGAAGCCAAAGAATTATTAGGCGCATCGCTATCTCGAAGACCACCGCCTTTCGCGCGTTTCCTTCCCGATGACTTTTCAACCTCACGTGAAATATCAATTCTCTCCATCGGGATCCATTCATCTAATCGTTTGTTGAATTCTAAAAAGTGGACATAGTATTCTGTAATACCATTATTGATTCTAGTTGATAAAATCTCTGCCTTTCGATATTCCGGAGGATCAGCGGTTTTCTCCTTGTTATTAACTGTCACATAGACTTTACAGCCTATCGTTATGTCTTGGATCGTCGTCGTCGTCGCTCCATTATTGTAGGTCGGAGTAGATGGACGAGAACTGTTGTTGTGGTGTCGAGGAGTACCAGGACGCGGGGTTGTTGGTCGTGGCGTTGTTGGTCTTGGTGAGGTTGAATTGGCGAACCTGTTGCTCATTTGTATGTTGTATGTATATAATATTGATGTGTGTTGCTTTTCTCTTTTCTTTGTCAGAAACAAAAATTGAAAAGTTAAGTGCGATAATACACACAGTATGCCGAATGTAGAACGCAAGCACTATATAGTCGATTAATACTGTTAACCAATTATAAAGTCTGCCGTAAGTAATGAGTCATTATTTTCTCTGGAAGAGCCTTATATTCTTTATATATAGCCGTGGAGTTCTTGCGGCTCTAACGAAGCTTGTGTATGTGCTACAAACTATGTTATCACGTGTCTTTCGTGTCTACTCGGAGAATAACGATAAGAATTGTCGGAATGTAGAATTTTTAATCGAGACTGCCTTATAATCGTTATATATATTACGCGTGTCAAATACGATTATTTCAAGATACTTGATTAAACGAATAGTATGAAGCGCAGAGAGCAAACCATCACAATTTTTATTCCTTCGATGCAAGATAATATTTCTTGCAAAGAACTGTTTAGCATGATTGACAAATAAATAAACCAAACTGGGAATAGATTAATGAAATATATGAAACATAATTATAACATCGAATCAAAGATTATTTTACATAAATATTCTTATTATTATTATTATTATTATTATTATTATTATATCAATCTTCTTTACCCTTTTCCTCACACGCCCGAAACTTATCATCAAACTTTTTGTGCATCGCATCATTCTCTTGATGCCAGAACTCAAAAACTTCACTTAGATATTGTGGTGGCGAAGATGTTAAGAATGGTTTCAATACCGTGTAATGCACCACTTTTATCTCGTCAAATAATAGTTTCCAGAGATATCGATGTTTCTTAAGTAATGATAGATTGAAATTGAAGGTGGAGGGTAGTGTGATAAGTCTACATAATTTTAGGATTATAAGCATTGAATATCTAATGAACTTTTTTGATATAGATGAATTTACAGTGATCTCGGAGGCTCGTACCTGAATCGATAAAATTCATTAAGAAAGGCTTGTTCGGCAAATGTAATTTTATAATTGCCGGGTATTTTATAAGTACGCATCATTTCATCATACACAATCTTAGTAGGTCTGAATATCATAGATCCTAATAAATCATTAAGAATTAATGAATGAATCAACTAAAATATCGTAACAATAAAAATAAGAATCATTATCAGTGGAAGAGACCCACCAGCATTAAAAGTATTATCAAGATTCCCATCGAAAACATCAGGCGCGGCGGCGAACTCAAATCCCGTCACATTAGCATCTTTAATCAGCTCAAATGTTTTATCAAACGGATGCACCACCAAAGCATCCGAATCAATATACGCGATCCCATCAAACTCATCATACGACCATAATCTTAATTTTGTGAACTGATCCGCGAAGTTTTCCGAAACTCCCGACCATGGAGGTGGAATTCGCACGGCAACGCGTGGTATCCACTCGATTGCACGAAGTTTACAGAGCGTTGCTTTGGAAAGTTTCTCGGGGAAATAGATAATATGCATCTGATGATTTGGGTGATGTTTCTTTATTGTATATCCTAATGTCAATGCGCCTTCCAAATACTTTTCGTTATACAATGAACTAAAAAATGCATAATTTGGTGATGATGAATTATTTGATCCTATGCTGATGCTTTCTTTTTGTTCTAAGCGCTGTTCTATCATCACCGTTAGAATGATAATTATTATAATGAACGGAATGAAAAGGAACTTTTTACGTTCATTTCCTTACCACAACTAACAGTATCGTGACACGCATACGTGCCGTTCAACAGATTCGAACCGAACCATGGTGTCTTCACGAGGTCAACCACAAAAACCACCAATACTGTATATACAACAATAACTAAAAGTCCAACCAAAACTCTAATAAGTAAGCGAATCCGACCTGCTTTGCTAAGACATAAGCGTCGCGAACAAAGAAAGCGACTAGTTTGTGTGGTTTTCTCAATATTGCCCAATAATGAGTGAGCTGCTTCATCAACCTGCGAATTCATCGTATCAAAGTAGAAGAGGAGAAAAAGTTCTGTACGAACCCTCTAAATTGGCCGTATTTTACCCCATTTTTTCGGGAAGACGGGCATAAAAAGTCCCCATTTTATTTAATTTTCCCCGAAGTTTTGATTGGGCAAAATCAAATCACGTAATATTAATTCCCGGAAAAACATTTTGTAATATTATAGAAGTTAGGATTAAGGGTTAGAAACAATTTTTTATTTAATACCCAAGTTAGGTTTATTCATTTTTATTGGGTATACTATTCAGTAGTAGAGATTATTTTAACTGATTTCGTAACTATTAACAATTTATCAATATTACCGTTATTATTTACACCGGACACTGTGACAGATTTTTTAGGTTACCGTAATTCACCACATAAAATACCCCCATGTACCAGACCCTTGGTGTAAAGAACACACATACCTATATTCGTTCTTCCATGATTTTTTGTTTCGCCTCGTTATCTCCAGAACCTAGCGTCGGAGGAAGATATTTGGGTAATGGCGAGTCCCCGTTGCTATTAAGTGTTGAAACACCGCACTCCGTTCGTCACCCCCAGTCCAACTCGTAATCGGCAAAAAGGGAGCCAAATTTCCGTTTTTGTTTGATTACGATATAAAATACGACACTATGTCGAACTCCAGCGATGACCGGGAGATTTTTTTATTGTATTTTATTCCCGGTATATGTACCTAACATTCTGTATGTCTATATTTTATTTGTAATAAAGCAAATACATGTATATTTATTTTTCTTGGCAAAAAGTGATCGGCGTTACAAATTGTAACGCATATATGATTCACGTAAGAGAATTGTATAAAAAATCCACAAAGGTTTTCTAATAAAGCAAATAAAACTGCAATTATATTGCTGACCATTATTACGTATAATACAAGTAAAGGTCATGTATCTTGCTGTTATGAAGCAGAATTTTCGTTTTTTTTACTATTATTTTTTTTTGCACGTTCTGGCGTGGGTTTGACTTCAGATTTATATACACTTTTATCCCCTGTTGATTTTTTTACCGACTTAACTGTCTTCAAGATATCTTTCTGCGGTGATAACCAACATTATCAGTATCCTATTAAAGAAACTTTGATACTCATCAATTTGATTTGTTACCTGAAAATTCATGAGAATTGCCATTTCCGTTGCAAATTGTTCCATATGATCGAAACTGTTGGGAAGCTTGATGCACGCAAATTCGTCATACAGATATATTGATGGAAGTGGCCGTACCATATATCGTATGCGAATTTCTCCATCTAAGACAAGAGTCTTATGAAAAATATCCATATGACAGAAATTTTTTTACTGTGCTGTGATACTTACTCACACATTGAATTGTGTACACACGAGCCTTTTCAGAAGATACGGTGTCAAGTAGTTTGTTTAATATTCGCATGGCGTTTCGGCCGAGTTTTACCTTGTCGTCAACATCCTTGGTATTGGGGGACTTTATCCCTTTTGAAAACTCGGCAATTCCTATTACTCGATGATTCTCTTTCTTTACATTGAGAACTTTTAAAATGCCATCAATCTTACGGTTCTTTGTAACTGCAGTAAGTATTTCGATCCTGAATCAAATAAAAGGAAATTAGATGTAATATAACTCGAAACTATTGGAAATTCAAAATTGACACCTGCCAGTTCCAATCCAACACATCCTGGTACATTCTAAAGAGTCGGTTCATTATAAATATGCTCGTATCAATAGCGTAAGTCCTTTCGAGACTCGATGCATTTGACTCGGCGTTGATTGGGGCTTCCAATCGCTCTGAACTATTTATTGATTATGTTGGTGACATTGATTTTACGTAAACAAAGACACATACATATATACTACATACAAATGTGTCATGATGCGTTGCGCAATATCATGCCCTTCATGAAGGAAAGGGTCAAATCGTCCCGCAACAAAAGATTTTCTTACAAGGGTAGGGACTTGGACACGATCACAATTATCTTCAGTGAATTGACTACAAAAATCTTTGAATTCGTTCGTTTGATCCCATGTTTGCTTTTCCAGTATTAGATTGAGAAATGATCGTTGTCCTTCATTCAGACTGGATCGTACACATTGTTTCATACTAGCATCTGTCAAATCGATTATATCGTTCAAAAAATTAGAATTCATAATTGTCTTCCCCATTTCAAAATCTTTGGATCGGTATTGAAAGAGTATGTCAAGCAAAACGATTCGAATCGACGCATTATCAAAACTTAAATTTCTCAATTCCTAGAAGATTGAACAACAGTGAATACACAATTATTACATGCGAAATGAAACAAAGCTAAATTACCTCATGATCATTAGCACAGCAATTGTTCACTTTCAGGAAGATCTGGAAGGTTGAATAGCAGTGAGTACATTAGTTGTACACGAAATGCAAAGTCAAGATAAACTACCTCGTGATCAATTAAATTGTAATCGTCATCTAATTCCGATAGTTGTTCCTTGTTCAATGCTTTCTGGGGTTCGATTTGATTTTCTTGTCGCGCCAATTTTTCCCATATATCATTGTTTTGGGTATATAAAGCAGTATTGGCCATGTGATTCTATTAAATGCATTTAAAATTCGCAAGTCATTTAAAAAACCTTTTTCACACTGAACTTTAACATAGTTATAGTTATATTAACCTCCGAAAGTAGGAAAGACGGATAGATTTGATCTTCCGGTGTGACTTGACGGTCTGTTCTTGTCCGCTTTATTTGACTTTGTTCAAAATTGGTCTAAAGTATTGAAACACAAAATAATCAGTTCATTTTCAATAACTGTACTCTTAATTAGACTCACCTCTTCTTCGACTTGTGAGGCACTCCGTTTTTCTAACTTTTCCGTAATTATTTTTCGTAGCAAATGACCTTGCTTTCGTGTATCTATCGTCGCGTCTAGAACATGAAGGGTCTAAGACAAATATATCAGTATATAAATCAGAGATAATGAAGGTTTCAAGAATTAACATACTAACTTCTTCGATATAAATTTCATCTTCCAGTTCTCTCTTTTTCCAGTATTGTTTCACCGCCTCCGACTTGCTTTGTTCCTGGTTAAGGAAAGTTATCAGACACCAAATAAATACGCCAAAGAAGTACGCGCTAAGGGATACACACGGCACGGAGGCCATAATTCCAAAACACAGAGGTTTGGCGGAAGTAGTATGAAATCCACACCAGCACAGAGGCATATCTCCCATGGACACGGAGGTCAAACAAAAATGTTCCCTCGCGACATAAGTCTGACACAGAGGTCAAAACAAATGCCCCTACGACACAAAGGTCGAAGGCGGAGGATGGGATAGGACATAGCGCGTATCAAAGTAACTAACAAGAAAGTGGAACGAAAGAAGTAACACCTTAAAAGCATCCATACAGGCGCGTGCGATTACTCTTCGGTCTTCCTCAATGTTAACGTCTCTAATGATAGATCTAAGTGTTCCCTTGTATAAACTGTAGGCTTTAATTTTATTCGTTGGGAGTTTGTGTTCTAAGAAGTCAATTAGCGAGCAGGACTTCAAGTCGTCGAAGTAGGCGTCAAACCTGGGCATGACACGTTGAGAAAAAAACATTGTGGACTCATGTTATACAAAAAAAATGAGGTCACGTAACCTTTCCCAATGCTTAATTTTTATTGGTCCAATTCCTACGGGTGCAATGCCAAATTACATAATGTTATAATAGTAACGTTATGGAAGATTATCCGAAAGTCGGACAGTGTTACGAATGTAATATAATATCAGTCACACGATTTGTCACGCAGATCTGTGGAGTAAATTTTCTTCTATATAATTTGAGAGGTCGACATCTCATTATTTATATATAAATTACAGTAGCAGCCTTCTTTATTCGTTTTTTTAAAGGTTCCTAAACAGAAACTGTACTCATGCTACAGTTCAGTAAGACGAGTACTTTCTTATAGAATAATCTCATCTGCAAAGATTGTTCATCACGTTATAACGTATAATAATGATAATACTATAGAGCTTCCCTTCTCATCAATTTGAAAAGATTTTTGGAGCAGTTAATGTAGTTATGAACTACTGATGTAATTACAAACCACCAGAAGTGGTTACAAACTATATATAAAGGTAAGTTGTAAGTTATTGGGAGTGGTTATTAGACTTCGGATTGAATAGATTGGGTGGATTAATTAGATTGGTTGGGTTGATTAGATTGGTTGGATTGGTTGGGTTACAACTGTAAGAGGCTATTAGTAATAGGATATCAAAATGTATATATTCAAATAAAGAATAATATTCTGTTTTTCAATCAAATAATTTTGCAAAATTGCAAGAGATTGCACTAGTTTCTTTACTCAAATGTGATGATTTGAATATTTACGAAATAGATATTTGGGAAAAGATAATTGAATGAGAAACTGCTCAAGTCTCTAATTCTGAATTGTTAAGTCAATAGATCATCTCATTTAAATTCTTGTAATTCTAAGAGTTCAAGTTATTTGAAGATGCAGATATCAGGAGTCAGATGTTACTCTCACATATCACTTATCCACTCAGTCTTTCACTTTTACTTGACTTCTATTCTCACTCTTGTCTATACTCATCCCCTCACTTTTCATTAGGTTTATTAGTAAGTGATGTAGTATTAATGAAAAACCAATCATTAATGGTTTTAATAAGAGAGAAAACTGATTATTTATTTGAAGATATAATTATAAAGAATGATAATGAGAATAATAGTAATAATAATTGATAATAATAAATTTTAATGTGCATTTGTTAAAGTATTAAACATAAAAATAAAGAATCTTTTCTTGATAGAATTATATACATTATTCTCACCTAATAATAATAGTATATGTATAAATGTTCAAAAAGGAAATTGCAATTATAATTGTTAATCAAATACTATTATTACAATACATATCTATAAGTATATACTATAAGCCAAAGTGTTATAATATTAGTTTTATTCAAATTATTATATTACAGTCAGAAGTTTTTTCAAATTTGGATGATACAGATCATACTTTTTATAGGGATAAACCAATTCTAGAATTTTCTCACATTCAATTGTAGAATATCATAGAAGTATATGACTATTTATTAATATTAATACTATTTTCAAATATTATATTTTTAATTTCTTGAAGAATATTCACTAAGTTATCATAGGATTTACTTAATAAATCTTAAAAACGTGACCATTCTGATTCATCTAAAAAAGAACTTAAAAAATTAATTATGGATAATATCTGTGATTTTATTAATAAACTTTTAGCCTTCTGACAATTTTCTTCTTTATGTGTTATTAGAATCAGTTACTAAATGCCTAGTGATATTTCTTTAGTTAGCTTTGCTTTTATAAAATCTATTCTTTTCATATAAGTAATTTCACTGAATCTTTTCATTTTTTCACTTAGCATCCACTCTCCATTTATGTCTTGAAAAATATGATTATTAGCATTTGGATTTATAAATTTGATCTGTCTTATTTGAACCTGAAATTGACATGATTTAACAGTAAAACTAGAATATATGCGAGATCCATATATTTCACTTTTATTATAGTCTATTATATTAAAAAGATTAGCACGTAATTTCAAAAATTTTGTATAATTACGTGCTGCAATCTTCCAATACCATTGTGAAGGTATAACAGAAACTAAAGATTTGAGCATTTTGTTAATTTCTTCTAATATTGCATTATAATCTTGATATTGATTTGAAAGTTTAGAGCATGAGATTATAATCCTTTCTTGAATTAACTTGTAAATTTCAGATTTTAATCATAATCTCTAATCTTTATCATTAATTTTGATTAACTGATAAATAGAATATTATTGTACAGACCAAATTGGTGCAAATATTCATCTAGTAGCAAGTCTTAATGAAGGCCTATTAAAATAAATTCCAGTACAAAAGTTAATAATAGCTTGTAAATACAAAAATATTTGTTTATACTTTAATCTAAATATGAAATCCATTTAATTTTATACCTATTTTAAATAATCTTTAACAGAAGGATTTTTTTCAGAAATAATGTATGACTACATTAACTCTGATACTATTGTATATCTATATATATTATATATAAAGTTTCATGACTTATAATGATCGAAATATTTTTTAAAAAACTGTAGTTGATTTTTAGTTTGATATCCCTAATATTAAGCAAAATCTTTTATATTGATATTCCAATTCAATTCAACAAATACTTTTAATATATTCATTTTCTCGTAAAGAGTATCTAGAACTAATATAAGTCAAGAAAAATCATCTTTCATTTTTAGTGCATGATGATATGGTACACCATTACAGATAACCACAACCTATTTATGTCTATTTTCTTTAATCCTGAATACTTTTTCAATATGCTCAAGCACTTTTTGAATATTAAAAATCAAATTTGAATTAACTCCTATCGGATCAGGAACAGATAATTAGATATATTAACCTCATACTCCAGATTTAATCATGCTTTTTCAAATGTGTGAGAATAAATGATGAGTGATCTTTCAGCTATATGTACAATATTAAGCAGCTCATTAAACTACTGATTCATCTTGGTAACTATTAATAATTTATTATGACATGTAAGGCAGATTTGCTTCTTATTATCAATGTTAGATGTTTGACAAGCTGGGCATTTTTTTGTATATCCTGTCTGACTTTGATAACATATCAATTTATCGATCATATTTATTTCTTGATTTTTCTCAATGCAAAGCTCTTCTAAAATAATAGTAAGATAATTAGTTAGTTCTTCATAAATTTCATTTCTCATACCTAAAATTAAAGAAAATAACTTCTCATATTGCTCCTGGAAGAGCTCAAAGGATAACCAAGAATCAGTATTCTGAACATCATCATTTTAATCATAATTAAAAGTGATAAAATTCATAACTATATGGAATATAACCATATTAAGTCCACAGTCTAGATAGTTCTTTTGACCCTTTTATTCATTATTAAAGGCTAAAAATAAAAGACTGTTTGGAAGTGGTAGTTATTCTATAGCTAAACTTTCTAACCAATTAGTAAACTTTGAATAACTACTAGAGTACATAATATAATTATCAATATCAATAACCATTTTCAACCTTGCTAATAAATATTTAACTGCTGATGTGGTTATATTAATAGCAGATATATATTTTAAATATCTTGATCTATATATAGTATCAACTGTAATAGCACACTTAAAAAGTTTTTCTCCTTCAGATTGATACTTATTTTTATTATGTATAAGAGTTTGTATAAATTTGATGATAACTAGATTTTGCTCAGAAAGCTATTTAGAAGGAGAGTACTCTAAAAGGCTATCTAAACCAAATTGCTCTTGGTTTTCAATTAAACTTATTATATTATTGTATATATTATCTCATTCTCTTTTTATAATCTCTATTATGAGCTTAACGTGATCTTGTTGGTCATCTAATAACTATCTTTGTAATACTTCATTTTCTGATAGTAATCATCTATTAAGATTCTTCAACTTATTAATTCTTTTCATAAGTATCTCATGTGCTAGATCTGACAAATATACTTGAGCTCCAAAATTGGAAAAACTTTTTTTAGAGAGATCACATTTATCAGTGAATTTTCTTCTTTTTCTCTCTATTTCTTCTGTATTTAAAAGACTTGAATTATCTTGTTTAGCCAATTATACAATAAAATATTTTCTAATGATAATATAATTGTAGTATTTTTCACATAAAGAGTAATTCTCTAGAGAATCAAGTAATAAATCTAGTGTAAAAAAATACTTAGTCATTTTTATTTATTTTTTTATTGCAGCAGTTACTAACGCATATTTCTATTATTAATTCTCTTTAGTTTCATATTACATTAATTGACTATTATAATATTTCTTGGAAAGAGAGTTGAATATATAAGATAAGGCTTTTGCATTTAATTTTGAACTCATTATAAGAGATGTTGTATAACAAAGTATAATTCTAAAATGTAAATTGAGAAGAAACTACTTTGTAAAGTTATGTGAATTGTGATGGATTATAAAGCTATAGATTCATAAGAGTATATTCTGACTTTTAGTTTTGATTCTTATGCAGTACTAGATTGATAAAAGTATTATCAAATTCTTTGTATTTAAATTAATCATATTTCAAGATTCACTCTGAATATTCTAGAATTGATCTGCAAATTTCGAAAAACTTCTGACTGTATTAAATAAATCAAAAATTAAAAAATTATGAAATTCTTATCTGAAGTTTCACTTGGCCATGAAGAGATTTATGATGACTTTAACCAAGAATTCAGTATTGATATTGAATAAATAATGACATATAATGAGAGAGTTCTTACATTTGACTGGCATTTATTTAAGAGAGTACAAGAAATAATCACCAGATATACTGAGAAAACAGATGATAAATTTATCAAAAGTGATAATGAGATGAAAATATTTGAGAAGAAATTTAAAAGAACTATTCCTTCTCTTATAGATCATGCTATTAAACTAACATATTATGTTATTATTGATAATAATAATAATTAATACATAATTCAAAGATGTAATAATGCAGGAATTCACAGTGTGAAATAACTTTTTAATACGTGAGAGA